TATTATGTAAATAGTTATATTGTATTACTTAGGAAGTAATGAGAAGGGAGAAAACCAGTTTGAATATGTTCAGTACAGATGCAAACATCACAGGCCTAACTACATAGTACATGTCAGCAACAACATAACATCCCCCCCCCCCAAATATATGTATTTTTAATCCTCTCCTGAGGATATTTTTTTTTTTTCTATTGATGGTTTAGGAAGAGTCGAAAGGAAGGAGGGAGTGGGAGAGAAAGATAGACCAAGAAAAAAAACTTTGATGTGAGAGAGAGACACTGATTGGTTGCCTTGAGCAGACACCTCAACTGGGACCCGGGGATTGAATCTGCAACCAAGGTGCTGGCCCTTGATTGGGAATTGAAACCTCCCATGGGAATCAAACCCAAGACCCTTCAGTCTCTGAGCCATTGCTCTAACCACTGAGTGAACTGGCCAGGGCTTAAATATTTTTGATGCCAGAGCTTGTTGAATCTGCAGAAGCAGAAGTCAAAGATAAGACAGCCAACTTTATTCAGAGTTAAGTCTTAGAAGGGATCATTTTGACAGAAATGTAGGAAATACACTGAGTGAGAGAGAAATGGGAGAGAGGGGCTGTTAGGTATTTGTAACAATTCAAGTAAGAGATACAGGACATTTTAACGAGGGCCAGAGATGAATTTGAGTGACATGTCAAAGAAGGAATCACAACCTTGTAGGGACTAGAGGTTGGAGGGAAGTAAAAGAAGCTGAAGGTAGTGTCGGGTGCCATTCATTAACTGAGGATGTGAAACAGGAGGTGGGCTTGGAGGGAATGTGATGGAAGTGGTCCTATCAGAACACAGTACCAGTTTATGCTTACACTTAAATCAAATCCTATTTCCAAATATAACTGTTTATGTGATGCGTTCCAATCCAAACCACCAGAAAGTAGTTTGTTTTACAACCATGTTAGCACCCTATTCAAAAATCTCTGTGACCTGTCCAATTTAAACACCTCATTGGAGCACTTTTCCCAGGTGGGTTATGGTCTATGATCCACCTTCAAGTGTATATTCTACAGCTAAGACTGAACTGTTTAGATACAGCATATACCTTAGTTAAATTTGTTAGTTCTGTTCAAAGGATTAATGTCAAAATCACACTTCTTTGTTATTAACAAGGAATCATAGAGATTCCTTAAAGAATCACCTGGACATGACACTATCATGAAGCCTTTGACAGAGCTAATTTTGTATGCCATCCTTTCTTTTTATATCCACATGAGACCCTTTAGATACCTATTATTCTATTTTGCATCAAATATCTGTTTAATTATCTTATTCGTCTAACTCAATTACTATTTCTATAAGTAGAGAGAAAATCTATATCCCCTTGATTTCTTGCTCATATAGGTATTCAGTAAACTTTATTAAAACCAGGTATCTGCTAACATTCATATGTGATACTAAAAGAAAAGTTCAAGAGGAAAATACAAATTTCTGAATTGTTCACTAATAACGACCATAGAAATTACACTTGGTTTGAGGGGAGCAATCTGAGATGCTAGATTAGAACAATGTTTCTCAAACTTTAATGGGAGTAAAAATTAGGGATCTTATTAAGCCCTAATTCCTGGTCCCAGCTTGAGATTTTAACTGAGTGGGTCTGGGGCCATGAATTTGTTTCTAAGTAATGCTGATACTGCTGGACAGTGGATGACATACTAAGTAGCTCTAATGCAAAGGGTAAGTCAACAATGTCATAATGTCTAGACTTAAATTCTAGCACCAGAATTTGCTAGCTTTGTGATACGGAGGTACCAAATCTCTAAGCCTGAGTACTTACCTGTAGAATGGTAATAAATAAGGGACTCCCCACCCCCTCTGCCCCCACCAACTTGGTACTGACATGAGAATTAAATTGTATATACAGTGTGCTTCTGGCAGTACCTGACACATGGTATGTACTCAAATATTAGATGTTGGTGTGCAATAATACTAATAAGTCAACAGATTCCTAAAGAACAGGGTCATTCAAATATAGCCTATGGGCCAAATCTGACCTACTGCCTGTATTGGTAATGCTAATGAACTAAGTCTTAATTTTTTTAATGATTGAAAATGTTAAAAGAATATTTTGCAACGTGGAAATTATATGAAATTTAAATTTCAGTGTCCGTAAAGTGTTATTGGAATACAGCACGCATTTGTTACATATTGCTTATGGAAGCTTTTGTGCTATAATGGCAGAGTTGAATAGTCTTACAATACTATTCAGTGGCTCTAGTTTTAATGTGATTGTGTCAAGGAAATGGATTCTAAGAAACTGATAATAAAAATTGGGGGAAAAAGACAAATTTTAGGTATAAGTAGTAAAATGGAATAATTACCGTCAAAATGCCTCAAACCAGAAAATGTCATTAGATGTTCCAACCTACTTTTTTTTTTTTTTTAAAGAAGCAATATTTATTGTCCTTTTTCTGATTAGAAAAGCAATACATGATTAGGGTATTTGGAAAATACAATAGTATACAGCATGTAAATCATATTCTCAATAGTAGAGATAACCACATTTAAACATTTTTACAAAATTGGAATGTTATTGTATAAATTGCCTATATATTTTTAATGTATAATTTCTCTAATATCCTCATATTCTTAAGAACATTGTGCTTAATGGGTAATAATGTTCCATTACTTGGTAATACCATAATTCAATTATTACTCTCAAAAGATTTTATTATTTATAATGCTATAACAAATTTCTGGAAATCTGTTTTCCTGCTATGATAAAGTACTGTTAAAAAAAACCCCTAAATTTTCTAAATTGGGGCTGATTTGGGCTGCTGTAAAGGAAAATAGAGTAGAGATGAGGTGTAGGCCAATCTTTCTTCATTTTCTAGATTGCTAAACCACACCAATTTTGGGGATTTCTACCTTATGTAAACTTAAACGACTTATTATCTTTACTCACTGTATTTGTCCCCCGCTCCCAATATAATCCATATCATTGCAATCAGGTAATGTTTTATATCAAATTCCCCCTTCCCTTAAAAAAAAAAAACTTACATAAAAAAGTCTTATCAAAAATATTTTATTTACAAAAAGAATTATACTATACATCCTATACTGGAAATACATTGAATAATTGCTAAAATAAATACAGGCAATTAATTCAATCTTCTATAAGAATGAGAGAATTTGACATTTGAATGTTATCAAAGCTTAACTTAGAACATAAATAGTTAAAAAGGCAAAATCAAGTTTTAGTCTCATTTATTGGTGCCGTGTTTGTTTCCCACAAGCTCTCTAATTGGAGAGATGGAGTGGAAGAATGTTATGTACCTTGTTGTATTCCAAAGGTAGAATGTGCATCTTTTTCTTAGGACAGATGGAACATGGATGTCTGCTTGAAAAAAGCAGAAAGTATATGGCCCAACACTTCTCCGCATGACTCTGTTTCATCACAATTCTTTCTATATAACTATTCATAGGTTCAATTGTGTTTTTAACACAGGTCTACACAACACCAACTACAAAGCAAGATGGGTTGTGTCAAAAGCCAAACTGGATAACCGAGGCTCTGGAGAAGTGAATTAGCTAGACTACAGGCATCTGGTTTGTTAATTTTTCATGTGCCAATTTTTGATACATTTATTAAACCTTGATATCATTTCTAGTATGTAAACATATTTATATTGGTCAACAGAAAAGATGAAATTCTCTGTAGAATAATTCAGAATAAAAGCCCCAATAGAAAGTAAAAGAGGCTGATAACTGGAAATTAAACCTGCCATTTTGAATCTGTACACTTTACATTTTAATTTACCCAACTAAATCCTGGAAATCTCTGGCTAACACACAAAGTGAACTGGCAAGCTGGAAAAAAATCAGGTAAAGTATGTAATATATAGATAGGATCTGGTGAATTCAAGCCATATAACAAAATTAACTGCATTGTATTTGTCCAAATTATACAAATAATTTCCCTCACTTTCCCTATTACTCAGCCTGGGAAACCATTGCCAGAATCTTTGATTATTCATCTGTGATATGCATGTTATGTCCAGTGTTGGCTTCCCAGTGTTTTCTTTTGAGTATTCCTTTTTTTTTTTAATCTTATGAAAAAAAAAATTGCACTTTTCTACCCTTTTGGCCTTAATTTTCATTTATTTACTTTTTCTTTCACACATAAGTACGTATTTTTACTCCCGAAGTCTGACATGTATTATTGGCCTTTTCCAAATGAAGTTTAAAATTTTTAAAATATTAGAAGTTTAAATTCTTTTTCACAGAAATAAACTATTCGATTTGAAAAGGTAGAGAGAGAAACATTTTATTCTTTCTATCATGAACAGCATCCATCAACCAAGCTTCACATTTTGGGTAGGTTTTATAAGTTTGAATTTTTTTCAGAACCTATTTTTTTTTTTTTTATAAAGGAAGAACAGGTGTATTTTGGCAGAGAAGTAAAATATAGAATATGCAAAATTTGTTTTAAAAATGGGCATACAAAATTTTAAAACACAGTACAATTATATAGAAATACAGCACAGCCAACGGCCTCGAAAATTTCCTTTGGCATTTCATTTGGTAGAATTAAACAGAAAATCCTTTCTAAAAAAAACAATTAGCTATCAACACAGTCCATAAGTTAGGTTGTATATGTTGTAAGAACTTTTCCTTGAGTTTCCAAAAATCCTTTCTTCCATGATAACCCACATAAAGCATGGCTAGTGAGGTATATAGGGCAAAACTCTGATAGGCAGATATACAGTAAGGGAAAAGTGCATAAACAAAGAATTCTTCCCATTTTCATAGAAATGACAAGTTACATCTGATTTTCTTCTTGTTGATGTATATCATTTTACTTTGGCAGAATCAAAATAAACTCATAGAAATGTCTTTGTTCAAGTCCCAGCAGCAGTGATATGTCTCCTGTGGTGGCATTCTCTGATGCCACAATACTATACGGTCTTAACAGGAACTAAGGTTTTGTTTGTCCTCGTGGGTGACTGCAAATGTCAATCAATGTTAAGATCATACATCAAGCACCATGTCATACTGTTCCTTCTTCCGCCTGCCACACTTATTGATGAGAACCACATACAGAGTCAAAAGCATAACCCAATAGCATGCATAGAGCAATGTTCCAACAATTAGAACTGTCTGCTTGGAGTCTGAGAATGGCTTTTTAGATTCCTTATAAATGGTGAAGATCACACCACCCAGGAGGATTGTAAACCAAACCGAGACTGGAATGAGTCCTATGAAATTCACAACAATGGTTTTCCTTCCAGATGTGCCCCACCCAGCTTTGTTTATCGTTGCAATTGCAAACATCTTGGCAGGAAGTAAACTTGACATGTACAACACTGAGTAGAGGGACATGAAGACCATGACAATATTTCCTCTAAGGCAGCTGGCAAAGGATGATTTGATGAGACCGACTAACTGGACAGTCAACAAGAAGAGGAGGATGTTCCAAATTTTGCCCTGGTAGAAGAGCTGGACTACTGTGGCAATGAGAAAGAAAGGGAAGAATCCAGTGATAACCGCTTCGTAGGTCATCCACAAGTGATGTTTATGAAACCACATGGCATTGTACAGCCACTCTCGGAAGTATGACTTGCTCCAACGGGTCTGCTGGTTTAACCATCGGAGGTACTCGACAGGTGTCTCCGTAAGGCACTTGGACCGAGCTGTGTATTTTGTTGCATAGCCCAGACTCAGCACTCTGTTCGTTAGATGCCGGTCATCACCAAAACTGCATTTGCTGCCCATAAATTTCTGATTGTACCAGTCTTCCACAAATTCATGCAGCAGCGAGTTTCTGTACATCCCCAGGGGTCCACTAATGCACTGGACACACCCAAAATAAGACTGACAGGCCCTTTCTATGTTAAAAGCAATCCAGTATCTCACGCTGCTGAGGAAGGATATCCAGGAATCATACTTGTTTAAAATCTGCAAAAATGAGAAAATAGTAAAAGGTAAGCCTTAGTTAAAAATACCAACATACTTTCAACAATAACGAATTTAAATAAATAAATAAATATATGTATAATTGCTCTTAAAATTTAAAAACAAAATCTGTACCATCCTGCCCTGGTCAATGGTTTGAGTGTTGACCTGCACACAAAAGGGTTGAGGTTTAAGGGCATGTACCTGGGTTACAGGTTTGATCTCTCACCCTGGTTGGGGGAGATAACAAACCAATGTGTCTCTCTCACATCCATGTTTCTCTCCCCCCACTTCTCTTTTTTACTCCTTCCCTTCCACTCTCTCTAAAAATCAATGGAAAAATAACACTCGGTGAGGGTTAACACAAAACAAAAAATCCATACCATCCTGAGGTTACTTAATAGAATCAGGTTTATTTTGGCTTCTTTCCTCTATTTTAAAATATATATATATGATTTTTAAAGTTCAGAGAGAAAGGGAGAGGGAGAGAGAGATAAAAAAGCATCCATGATGAGAGAGAATCATTGGTCAGCTGCCTCCTGCATGCCCCCTCCTGGGGAGGGAACCTGCAAACCAGGCATGTGTCCTGACCAGGAATCAAACTAACCTTGACCTCCTTGGTTCATGGGGCAACAATCAACCATTGAGCTACAGTGGCTGGGTTCCTTCCTCTTTTTGACATAATTATATTTTAATGACTCTGATTCTATATTACTAGGTTAATAAGTTGTGTGCATGCATTGGGACTTTCTGATGATAAATATTTTCTACTTCACTCTCTGTCCTCATTTTGTTATGCCTTTTGTTCTTGTTCTATTATAATAATGAGATTTTTCTTCTCTTTTCTTTTCTTTCTTTTTTTTTTTTTGTTGGCTTTAGTTCTCAGTCCCTAAATTCTTCTTCCATACACTTTCCTGCCATCTAGGATGTGAAGGTTTCTAAGTTCTATTGCCTCCTGTTCTGGTTAATTTTCAACTCATCTAATCCGTGGCTATAAATTTTCCTTCTCTTCCTTACTATTTTGCAATGCCAGTGATGAAAGGGTTTGCTTTGGCCTCCCTCCAAATCTTGAGTCCTGAAATAATGCTCTATGTAAAGGCTATTCAAAATTATCAGCTTTTCTTGGCAATATTTCTAAATTCTCCCCGTCTCAATTTTGTTCTGTGTTCATCTCGATTTCACATGCTTCCTTTTTACCACCAGGCTACTTTTTGTCCATTGTAGTGGATTTTCTTTACCTCCACTATCACCAAAAATATATGACATGGATTATACAGCAACATAATACCTAAACTTTAAAATAAAATTTCAATGTGCTTTTCACATTTTGCTAAAATCTAATCTCACATTTGCAAAGAACTCATTTTAACCTTCACATACTTTTGCATATTCATTTTCCCCTTCCAGTATCTGTTTCACTGATTATTTCTGCATTGATAGCAAATAATGTCAGATACAGAATAATTAGTAAAAAATAAATAGTTGGAAAACCCATTTATTAATCAATTGCTCCTTTATCTTTCTCCCTAGTATAAATTTGAGTTGCTCTTTCTCTTTTCTTTCTTTGTTTTCCAATTTAGTTTTTTTGATCAATCACAAGTTGGTCAGCTTTTAAAGACATAGGTATATGATAGAGAATCCATCTCCTGCCACATTTTAGTTTATTGTCAACTAAATGAACTCTAACAACAGATTTTTTTTTTTTATCAAAATATTAAGTTATGGCTCAAGACCATAATTTATCAGCTACTAAAGACATGGATTATATGCTAGGACTAATCAAAGAAATCCTAAATTTTTTCAATTAGCCAAAGAGGCAGTAAACTGGGTTCAAGACACTTCAAATGTGTAATATCTGACACAGAGTTTGGTATAAGTGCATATTCAATGAATCGATGAATCAGAGTTCTACCAAAGTGACTGACTCAGGTAAAAGCAAAGCCATACCACACACCTGGACATCTCCTCCAACTCCTCCAACCATGGGGTCTTCTTCTAAAACTTTTACCATCTCCACAGATGAGGCTGGGTCTAGCATGGTGTCTGAATCACAAACCTGCAAAGAAGAAGGAAAATGAGTTAAAGAAAATAAAGAATTATAAAAGTGATTCACAAGGCCAAAATTTTGCATATACTATATACTATGTCTTCAGCCTTCTGGTCACAAATATCACAAGTAGCATGGCCAATAAAAAGAGCTAATTTTCCATCAAATTCAGTATTTAAGTTATTAACATATCTGGATAGAACAGGTAAAGCAATGTGCTAGGTATCCTATAGGGCCGTGGTCAGCAAACTGCGGCTCACGAGCCACATGTGGCTCTTTGGCTCCTTGAGTGTAGCTCTTCCACAAAAATACCACAGCCTGGGTGAGTCTATTTTGAAAAAGTGGCATTAGAGAAAGTTTAAGTTTAAAAAATTTGGCTTTCAAAAGAAATTTTAATTGTTGTACTGTTGATATTTGGCTCTTTTGACTAATGAGTTTGTCAACCATTGCTAGGGTAACCAGCTTGTCCCAACTCGCCATGGATATTCTCAGTTTTGGTCAAGAAAAGTCCTTATCCCAAGGACTTGCAAAATATATTGGGTTGATTGCTTTAAATGTCCTTTTTCTTTTTCAAATGCCTTAAGGCAACTTGTCCCTCAGGTTTGAATAATGATAGGATTATTCCCATGACAGTATTAAAAGAGGCACACTTAACAATTATTCCCCCATAAATATGATGAATAAAAGACAGAAAAGTCTCCTACAGCCAGGTGTATATTTCTGAATTTCTGAAGCAAGATGTCCATGACTTGGGCTTCGCAGATGACATTGCATTAGAAAGGGAACTAGCAAGATATTCAGACCACCTTTTATATTCTAAAGTACTCAAGTATTCATCGAGCCCTTTATGTATAAAAGCAGGTGTGAATGATCTTAAACCATTCTAGAAATGTTCTTACAATTTTATATGGAATTTTTTTTTAAAAAGGAATTCTGAAACCAAACCACTATGACTTCACTTCAAGAAGATTATTTGGATTAATCTATGCCTGTAGACCCCTGACAGAAATTTCCACGGGAGGCTGCTTGTGAGCATAAGCAGACCAAGTGGACAGAGTCATAAACAGTACTTTTTCTTTTTTAAAAAATATATTTTATTGATTTTTTTACAGAGAGGAAGGGAGAGGGATAGAGTTAGAAGCATCAATGAGAGAGAAACATTGATCAGCTGCCTCCTGCACACCTCTCACTGGGGATGTGCCCACAACCAAGGTACATGCCCTTGACCGGAATCAAACCTTGGACCTCCCTGTCCCCAGGCACTCTATCCACTCAGTGACCGGTTTTGGCAATAGCACTTTTTCTGCACTCTGATTTCTGAACCAATTGGGGGGGGGGAAAAAAAAAGAATAAGGAAGATGAGAAACCAAAATAGCACCTGTATACCCATAAATCTGACAGAGAGAATAGGCCTTATGTCTGTACAAGAGCAGAGAAGTCTTCATAATGATGTTCCCCAGTATAGGACAGTATTACCTATATAGTCAATAGCATTGAAGTGGGCCAGCCTCCTCCTGCAGATACAGTGCATGCTCCTTTTAAAGGTATGACAGATGCTTGCTCTTTGGCAATAGTCCAGTTCCAGGAAAAGGGAAGGAGAAGTTGGGCTAACCCTTCCTCCTTCCATACTCTCTTAGATTAAGTCACTTCTCTCTTAGAGAGGAAGGAGTGAGACAGCTGGGAAAAGCTACTACCTTTTCTCACAGATGAATCCTATCTGTGGATGGAGCTTCTTCCATAGGATCAAAGAAAATCCGAAGTAGGAAAAATGCTGCCTGAATGATGCTAATAAATGCTGTATTTTCTTCTGGGAATGCAGTAGGTCTTAGTAGATAGCAAGTGATCAGAATGGATATGTAATGAAATAAACCAGTTTCATACTCCCCATCAATAAATGACATGATTGGCAGAAATGGTGATGTTATCTATAATTTCCATTATTTTGCCATCAAGTCTGACTATACGAATGGATTTAATCAAGGTTAATTTATTCATATCACCAACATCTATCTTTACAGTTCTCCAAACTACTTCATAAAAAAAGTAAGGATTTGGTTGTTCAAACAACAAAGTGTAGAAATCTCAACATTTAAAACAATGTGTCCACTTTTACTAATAGTTATTTTTTCCCCCTGAAAATAAGTATTAAGGAAGAATGTTGGTGAATACACCAATTTAAAAGCATTATTGGAAGTTATTTTTAAAGGGAGTACATGAGGTTATCCAGTAGTAAAAAGTGAACTGATCACCTCACTGGATTTGGCTAAGTATAGCAATGTTAGGGTTAAAGTCTGAATTTTTAAATTTTACTTAATATTTAAAAGAACCTATTTTCTAATAAAAAAAAATCCATTCATTATTACATTCTACTTTGGTCCAGGATGGTATGGGGAGATTTAGGAAACAGTTAAGCATTAATTTTTCATTGCAGAAATAGAATTTTACTAATACTTGGATTTGCATTCATTCAGCCCAAGCCTCAGAAACCCAAACAAACCCCTCCAAGGTAATGCTTTGCCTCTGCCATGTCTTGTCTATCATTGGTTTGTATTGGCCAGGAGGCGGGCAGGCCTGTAGGGAGGGTAGAGAAAGCGAAGGCAGAAGTCCAGTCCAGAATCCAGCATCCTGAGAGTTTAGGGTCACACCCACCTCTATTGACTCAAGCTGGGAAAGGTAAAACCAGAAAGCTAAAATAAGACTAAAAACAACAGGAAGGGGGCAATCTAGAATTAATGTTCAAGTAACTCCGCCTGCTTATGAGCATAAGCAGACCAAGGCAACTGCCTCTTTGAAATGACTAAACACGAACCTAACTTCTGAGGTTCTCCGTGTTTCAATTGGCCCTACCCCTCCCAGTTTCCAAGAGCAAAGTGCCAGGAGCTCTCAGAGAGAGACTGTTTGCTTGGTGAGTTTAACTGCGTTGGAAAGGAAAGCTCTCAGAAATCTCTCGGAAAGGAGTTTGTTATAGTAGGTTAAAGAGCCTTAAGAAGTTCAATTTCTGGATGTTATTTGGTGATTGAATGCCAATAGAAAGCCACCAGCTATGAAGTCAGTGAAAGCATGTATGTTCATGGACCTACTGTTATTATTTTTAGTGTGTAAAGAGTATGATTAGTAATAGCAGGAATAGGATTTCCAGTTGTCCCCTAACTAATTAATAAAAAGTATGTAATATCATAAATGTTGGTTGCCTATTTAACTCTAGGCCAGAAGCTGTGGGGGAGGATATCCGCCAGTTCACAGAGTTTAACCTCACCTGGGGAAACACTACTGGACATGATATGAAGAGCGAAAACTGTGAGAGCACAAATCATATCTTTCTGTCCACACTGAATATGTCACTGTGATTTGTTCCCACCACAGGATCACTAGTCATAAGATTTCCCACTAAGAGATATGAAAGCGAAACAAAATCACCAAATTTTGACTAAAATGAGTGGAAAATGTCAAGACAAAAAAGACATTATTGAGAGATTCTAGCCACCTCATTTTTAACCACAAAATATCAACTAAATTGCATAAGACACATTTTTCTTTTTCCTTCACTATCCTAGCCAAGAGGTAAACCTTCCTCTTTCTATCTAAAACAGTTGAAAATTTTTTAAAAAGGAATATCTTATAACACAGAGAAACTCAAATTTCTATGTCCATAAATAAAATGTTGGAACCCAGGCACACTCATTTACGTTTATATTATCTATGGCTGCTCTCACACTAAAATAGCAGAGCTGAATAGCTGCAACAAAGACCACATGCCTACAAAGCTTAATATTTACTATCAGGCCTTTACAAGCAAAATTTGCCTTGGGACGAAAATAATTGGTTGCAGAAGAAGGGTTCTCTTTCCCAAAATAAAAAATAATAATAATGAAAAGTTGAGATTAAATATGTTCTAAGTCCTAATTTTAATTCTAGTAGATTTTTTAAAGGTTGCCTCCAACTCCATGTTATAAAGAACAGTAACTGTGTAAAAAATGTAAAACATAATTAGATTTTTTTCATTCACCAAGATATGCTTATTTTAAGAACGAATGCCCTCAGAAACAAGAAGCCTCTATCACCTTGAACAAGCCATTTACCATCATTGAGACACCAGGTGAGACAGCCTATAAAAGCACTTTGTAAATTACAAAGGACTGTAGAGAAGTATGCCATTAGCATTTAAGTAATAATCTTTACTGCTTATACCTCCTAAGTAAATGCATACCTAAAGAATTATGATGCTCCTTACCACAAATAGAGGGACATATAGAGAAAATCTCTAACAGGAACATGGGAATTAATTATATATCAAGAATCTTTTGTGTCTAGAACTATCTATAATAATCTATAAGTTATTAAACTCTAAGTCCATTGCAACTTGTCGTGATGTGAAACTTAAAATCTACCTCACTGTAATTTAAATTAAAATTTCCTCTAGAAATATCACTTAGTCTACCAAATATTTTTTAAATTCTAAGACCTAAGTCTAAAATGCCTAGTCTCTATGTATCACTTTTTTTAAAATATATTTTTAATTGATTTTTAGAGAGAGGGAGGACAGAAGAGGGAGAGAAACATCTAAGTGAGAGCAAGACATTGACCAGCTGCCTCCTACACTCTCCCTAGCAGAATGGAGCCTGCAACTGGGGCATGTGCCCTAACCATGCCTTAACCATGGGAAATCAAACCAGTAACCTTTTGGTGCACAGAATGAAGCCCAATCAACTGAGCCACACCTGTGGGAAGTTGCACTCTTTTAAAAACTGAGGTCCATAGCAAGTAAGCAACAGAGATGCGTCTAGAATTTACATCTCCCCATTCCTAGTTCAGTGTCCTATCAATTTTATCCTCTAAAATGAAGGATACAAGGAGATATATGACTCTTTCAGCATCAGCCCTCAGAATATTTTGGTTGCTTAGACTTCCTAATCAAAATAGGAACCAATCATGTTGCATACAATGGTTGCTCATTACTCATAGTAGTTACTGTTCTACAGTTTCTGTGAACAATGAATTAGCAAATACCGAAAAATTGCTTCTGGCAGGAATATAGGGTTAGCTTCCTCCAAGCCTCTGGTCACAACATTTTTGTCTTCCGATCATTATCTAACCTTGTTTTATTTATGTTTAAATATACTATATGAGTCATTAACATTGACTTCAAGGCTAACAGCCCTATTAATTAAGTCTAAACAAAACTCTCCTAACAAACGTATTTTCTCCATAAAGCAATAGCAGCCTCTTGCTCTGATGCACACTAAAGAGCCCTTCAGGGCTTCACTTGGGGCCATTTAAAACAACTACATCACCAAAGGGAAAAAAGCACAAGAATGTGAAAACTAAAATATTACCTAGACTGTAAGGAAGTTACTTGTTTACCGTATAAAAGCTAGAACAAGAAGGCAAAGCACGGTCTTGTTAGAGTGAAATTTTTGCCACTCCACATGTCTCTGCAAATGATCACAAAAAGTACTTGCAAACATTGATGTGAGGCTACAAATATGTTTTAGTGAGTGGCATAATTTACAAATGAAGAACCCATGAATAACGAGGGTCAACTCTTATGAATGATTTAGTCTTTCTTCTGCTCAAAGGATCTTGAATACCTAGGGTGCTGCCAAATTAAATAAAGGCCAACAGTCCAAATAAAATTGCCTCTTATACTCTTCTCTTTAGAGAATGTCCATGCTTATTGTATATTCTCTACCTGCTAAATCCCTAATGAACACCTTGGGGAATATTGTTTTTTCTTTTTTTGCACAGATTGGTGGCCACTTATGTTGGCACTTTTCCATGTCTGGTGATAAGAGATAGGTATGAATAGAGCAATTATATAATCTAACTATTAAAGTCTTCTGATATTAAATATTAAAAAGAACAAAAAAGTAAATATAATGTAATCCCAAATTTTTTTTTTAAATAAGGGAAAACAGAAAGTTATACACCAAAAAATACTAACATTTATAATCTATGGGTCATGTATTTGTTACTAATGATTTTAATTTTGCTCATTGTGCTTTTCTATAATTTTTATACATGTGTTTCTCTGGTAAATAAAAAGCTACTATAAATCCTATATAATAAAGAGTGATAATCCTATATAATAAAGAGTAATATGCAAATTGACCATCACACCCTCATAAGATGGCTGCTTATGACCAGGCCAGCAGAGGGTTAGTGAGAGATGACCAAACAACTGAACAAACAGGCTGTGTGGGCTGAGCAGGCCAGTGGGGGGTGACTAGGCTGGAAGGGAGGGCAGTTGGAGGTGACAAGGCCAGCAGGAGTGGGGAGCACTTAGGGGTGACTAGGCTGGTGGGGGGTGTGCAGTTGGGGGTGACCAGGCTGGCGGGGGGGGGGGGGGGCAGTTGAGGGCAATTATGCTGGCAAGGGGGGAATGGGGGGCAGTGAGGAGTGATTAGGCTGGCAGGGGGGCAGTTGGGGACAACCAGGCCAGCAAGGCAGTTGGGGACAACCAGGCCAGCAATTAGGAGCCAGCAGTCCAGGATTATGAGAGGATCCTGAATTAGAGAGGATGCAGGTTGGGCTGAGGGGATGCCCCCCCTCCCCAGTGGACGAATTTTGTGCACTGGGCCTCTAGTTGATATAAATAAATCCTTTTCTGGAGGAGACCAGAGGGAGCTGACCCAGAAAGCCCAGGACTAGAAGATTAACCTGGAGATAGGAGGTGAGGTTAGATATCCTTGAACCCGTAAGTAGGAGGCAAGGTCATTTGTTAGTAGTTAAGCAGGAAGGAGTTTGGGTGGGGAGCTGAGTGATGAAGGTATGCAATAATAGGTCATGAAAGCAATAAGAAAGACATCTATCTATTCAAGATGAAGTGAAGAGTGCTGACCAGTACCAAAGATCCAGCTGCAACTGGAAATTAACCATTTTGGTCATGTCTGCACAGTGAAGCAGTGTTTTCCAGCCAAGTTAGTAAGGATAGTGAACAGAAGGTCAATTTCATCCCCAGCCCTCATTTTCTCTTTATGTATAAGCACCTGAAACTTGCTTGCTTGCTTCCTTCCCTAATAAACCTGAACTCCAAGTTTGGGGGTTAGTCACTTGTAACGCTTAGTAACCAACATCCTCCCCCCTTTCTCCTTTGCTTTCTGTGGCTTCTCTGCAACTCTCAGACCCTGGTCAGTCAGAATGTTAGATTGACAGTATGTTAGTTTGAACTTTATGACATTCCCATTATTATAGGGCATACCTGGTTAAATATGGAGGAATTTGATTGATGAGGGATGGCAGGATGGAACTACTTGGTTTCAGAATGCCACAAGGTGGTGTGTGTGTGTGTGTGTGTGTGTGTGTGTGTGTGTGTGTGTTTTACACTTCTTTGAGCACTTGAAATGGACCAAGAATCCCAGGAGGATTCAGCTCCCAGTTACCAGCTATTGCTGGGTCAATCTCTCCTGAGGCTTCAGCCTGAAGGAAGGAAAGGTCTCCATGCTGATTAGAGCTCTAGCAGCAAGCCTTCTCCAACATTTCATATTGTGTATTATTTTTCCTGGACAAGCATAATATCAGGTTGTCAAGGAAACAAACAAAATTCAAAACAAAAATGATGGGAAAAGAGGTTTGGGAGGAGCAGGTTTGTAAGAAGGAAGAAAATCCACACAATCATGTCTTGATTAGAAATGACAAGTGATTGTTTTAACTATAATTAAAAGCAAAATATCAACAATATGTTTTATTATTTTATGCCGAGGGAATCATTTTTCAGTCCTATGCAAGTTCTCCAGTCATTCCTTCCTTTAAATGGGTCAATTCATCCCTCATTTAGGCCTGAAGTTGCAGAAGTAGGTATAAAATGTCCTGAGTTAGCTAAAACTACTTTAATTGTTAAAGTTCTAGAAATTAAGAGAAACTTGGGGATGAAACTCATTGGTATCAACTCAAGAAATGCCCCCAAACTCTTCAGATATTAACCCAAATTAATAGTTGTAGCAATTGAAAGCCTAAGTGACCAGATGACCAGTCGACAGGTTGCTGTGGCACAGGCTGACCTCCAGGGGGCATATGCTCAATGCAGGAGCTGCCCCCTGGTGGTTAGTGTACTCCCACAGCCAACCTCTCGGGGTTGGCCAACCTCCCACAGTCCCTCCTCGCCTGGGTCACTGGCCAGGCTGAGGGACCCCACTTGTGCACGAATTTGTGCAGTGGGCCTCTAGTATAATAATAATAATGGGAAACTTATAATAATATTAACACCATCATTAACAACTTTTGCTACTTTGTCATATTTTTAGAAATCATTACCTCAAAACCATTGTAAGATTTGGTTTCTTCTATCCAGAAAACTAAGGCTCAGGGAAATGGCCCTGCTCAAGTCATCCTGGTAGAAATATGTGGATTCAAACCTCAGTCAACTGACTCTAAAGCCAGTGCTCTAATCCCAGGCAGGGCAGCTCAGTTGGTTAGAGCATTGTTCCTATATGCCAAGATTGAGGATTCTATCCCTGGTCAGGGCACATACAAGAATCAACCAATAAGTGGAACAACAAACCTTTCTCTCAAAATCAATTTTAAAAAACAATTTTGGGGGGGTGAAAAACAGCAAAAACAAGAGGTTGCAATCAGAGAAATGTACTCAACGTGCTCAGGCAGAACAGGAAAAGGAAGCAGGAACAGACCACTCTCCATAAAAATAAATAAAAATTAAAAAAAAAAACAACACACTAATTTAAAGCCAGTGTCCTTTCCAATGCTATTTTACAGAGAGACCCACGGGGCATGACTTAGTGGCAGTAAGGCCACACGGTATAAGGGGTCTTCTAAAGCCTAGGATTGTACTCTTAAGAGAAAAGGCAGATTTCTTCAACCTAAGACATCTTCCTTCACATCTCATCATGGCCAAAATCTAGGAGCATCCTAAAGAAAAAAGCTTCGGTAAGAACTAGGAGAGGAGAAACCCTACAAGTGAGCAGTCAGGAAATTAGCGAGACACAACCCATCTAATTTTCATGTGAGCAAACACCATCACAAATGCTTTCAAAGGTCAAGTTGCAGTGAGTGAGGTAATGCTGTTTGGGGAATGAAATAAACATTACTTTGGTTTTGCTCTGGGAAGGTTTTTCCTTTTTCTCCCTGTTTCATATTTCTTTCCTTTCTCTCTCTCTTTTGAATTCGTTACCCTTTTCAATCAAAATTGTTCTCATCACCCTCATTTCGCCAGGTCTCTATGAATACCATTTTATAGCCTTCCTTTGGGTCTGCAGATTTTTTTTTTTCCTCAAGACCCTCCGCTCGGCAGACACTGTTTTCTTACAAGGCTGGGAATTTTAAGAGTGTGGAAAATGACGTTGGATTTGACTTGGCAGAACCCAGGGGGGCAGAGAAGGGAAGGGGAGAGAAAGTAGGAAGGGTCTCCTGTTCAAAATAACCTTGACTTCCAACCCACAGCACTGTACAAGCTAAGCGTTTTCATAGATAGTCTTTAACAGTTTTACAGGGCTTTTCCCCGCCTCTTTCAAAATGTGCTTTCAACAGTCTTGCTGTTTTCAAATGCACTGAAAGGGCACTGTGTTCAGAAGTGACAAGGATGGGCTATAAGCATATGACTGGAGAGATACAAAAGCTGCTTTATTTGGATGTATGTTTGCCCTGGCAGGAATTCGGAAACCTACCTGCACATAATCCACGCTCCGTCCCAGTGCTCTGAAGGCCGTGTACATGACTTCTCTTTTTCCACCCCATTTTTGCATGATGCAAATACTTTTGTTGGACAAGACCAACTGGGTGACATGTTGGGAGCTTTCTTTATGGGACTCCTCTGTCTCCCCGGGCCCCTTCTCGTGAAAGTTGTTCTTCCAAATATAAGTGGCTGACCTGTCCCTGCCCATGACTTCACTGAAGATGTCCATCATGTAGAGGTCATCTTCTGAGTTCCCATCGATGACCATGACCACTTTAATCCCAGGGTAGGTGAGCCTTTTCACAGATTGCAAACATTTCCGTAAGTAGTCTGGGTCTTCTTGATACGCAGCGATGCAAAGAGCGACAGTTTTGTTCAATTTGATGGGAGTTTCTAAGGATTTTTTCATTTTTCGGTGCTCCAAAAAGGCGAACAGGCTTTGGATGATGAGGTGTGATGCTAAAAAGGCACCATACAGTCCAAAAGAGAAGTAGTAATTATCTGTTTGGAAAAACTGGAAGCCAACAATATAAGCAGCTGTGATTCCAAGGAGGAGAGAGACTCCAAAAAGTGTGGTTCCAATTATTCTCAGGATAAATAGAAACCTCTCACAATGCATCTGGAATATAATCAAAGATACTCGTGGTTAATGACTCTTGTTCCACACCTGTGGTATATATACATGGTTATCATTACAGGAGGAGCATTCAGGAGTTCTGACCTCGAGTTTCTCACTAACTAGCTGTGTGGCTTTCTGCATCTCAGTTTGCTCATCTGCAGAATGGGAATATAAGGATGTCCTTCTAGGAATTACACCTCAGAGGGCTATTTCAAGAATCAGATGACATGATGGTGCATGGCATTATTGAAAACTACAATGTGTTAAACAAATACATGGAAGCATTATTTTTAGTGTGTTAGATCATTTATCTAAGGTAACACTCTATGTATGTGGTCATAGCTAGGTGTGAAACCTAAATTTCCTAGTCAGACAGTCATCTTTCTTCCTATACCATGTTTTCTCCCCATCCCCAGTACTGACCAGCAACAAACACAGAAGAGATTTTACTAAATTGCTCATGGCATTTCATCCTATCTCAAGTGCAAATCCCTCAGCTCTCACCCTTTCCATGCACCCAGCTGAGGTTAGTACTGGACTCAAGTACTGGTTCTTTCATCAACTAGCTGTGTAGCTTTTAGAGGGTCACTTTACCACTCTGTGCCTCAGTTTTTTTAATTTAGACTCAATTATTTCCAAAGTCTCTATTGACATTAAAATGCATCATGCCTAGGTGTCTTGTACAGACAATTATCAAAGCTCCTGTAATTCTGCATTGCATTTTTTTCAGATGGCTATCTCCTCCTCCCATCATCACTAACACCAGATGGGGATCAGAAACCTTACTGGACCACAGTAAGTAAACAGTAAATGTTTGTAGAAATAAATCATCAATTAAAAAAAAAATAGTATCGCCGAGACCGGTTTGGCTCAATGGATAGAGCGTCGGCTTGGGGACTTAAGGGTCCCGGGTTCGATTCCGGTCAAGGGCATGTACCTCGGTTGCGGGCATATCCCCAGTAGGGTGTGTGCAAGAGACAGCTGATCGATGACTCTGTCTCATCGATGTTTCTAACTCTCTATCTCTCTCCCTTCCTCTCTGTACAAAATCAATAAAAATATATTTTAAAAAAATAGTATCATGCTTAATTTCAACAGGTAACTTTCAGATCCTTTTAAAAGTTATAACATATTAGACCTGAAACACATTTCAGCTCTTAATAGTCAATTTTGTACTCCTCCCTACAATTTGTGTATTTCCTGGTTAAGGCTGGAACAACTAGAACATAGGAGGACCGTATTTCTGTGTTTTCCAAAGCATCTTCAAGCTTGAGCATAGAAGAGGAGCCTGGTAGATCTTTTTATTTATTTTCTCTTATTAGGTTTCTGGATCCAATTTCAGTGTTTTGTGTGGGAGGAGATTGCCCACATATCCAATAAACAATACTCTGGTTACCTGCTGGGTGTCCTACAATTTAACTTAATTCCCACAACCTTCTGATCCTAGTCCCAAGCTCAGGCTGTTACCTGTACTTCTGATTATTTATCAGAGGTTCTTAAGACCCTCTCTCCTTGGATTTGACGAATTTGTTAGAGCAGCTCACAGAACTCAGGGGACCCAATTACTCACCACATCACCAGTTTATGATAAAAGGATATAACTCAGGAATTCTTCCAAGAATGAACTGCAATGAGGAATTGATATTAAGGCAGTGTCCCCATCTTCAGTCATTTAAACCAACTTTAGGGTTTTCATTATACTAGTATTTACATATAATTATCATTTAATCTTTTTCTTTAATTCAACTAGACTTTGAAAGCTGAGTTCATTTATTTTCAATGGAAACTTAGGCTCAGCAATTATCTCTGCAAAAGTTAATGTTGGATATGCCATCTATAGTTCCCTATTCCACATTAAGGATTAAAATTGCATGTCATAGCATTCAATTATCTTGTATTAGTATCTCGGTTGTTACTAGTTGTGTGGCCACCACGTTGCTCTCAGCTCCAGGAGGCACCATTCCCATTCTAGTTCCCGTGGACATACACTGAGGTGGATCTGCATTACACTGAGTGTGGCTGCTCACCAGTGTGCTTCCTCCTTTGGAGCACAGACTGCTTGATGTGACCCTGGTGTCCCAGCCTTTGGAAACAGGACTTTTAAAAGAAAGAGTGGGTGCCCTGCAATCTCTTTTCCTCCCACCAGCTCATGCTCATACTAACATGGTCCTAGGGCATTGCACAGTCCAAAGATAGAGCGAGCTTGAACTGCCCAATGGATAGAGCCAGCCACCAATCAGGAATAGCTGCCGTGGAGTCTTATGCTATCAAGAAATAATTTGAGTGTTTGTTTACCCATTCCAAATTGTGGGTTTCGTTCACCCTAAGAATATAACTAAGGTTATGCAATGCAGCCTAGGGACCAAGATTTGAGACTGTGAACATTACTTTCCTTTGCTATGTACAGATGTCAATAATGACCCTACACCAGGCTGCTTCAAGGAGCAAAATCAAAGTGTACCACTGATTTTTTTTTTAAATGCAATGCATTTTAGCCAAAACTGGTTTAGCTCAGTGGATAGAGCATCAGCTTGCGGACTGAAAGGTCCCGGGTTCGATTTCAGTCAAGGGCTTGTATCTTGGTTGTGGGCACATCCCCAGTGGCGGGAGTGGGTGCAGGAGGCAACTGATCAGATGTTTCTCTCTCATTAATGTTTCTGGCGCGCTCTCTCTCCCTTCCTCTTTGTAAAAAAATAAAAATAAAAATAAAATAAATAAATAAAATATATATTTTTAAAAATCAAATAAAAATGCAATGCATCTTAAAGCATTTGGCTAACAAGGAAGCTAAAACAAACGAACGAATGTGTTCTACTTCTAGCACTTATGTAGAACACCAAAATATGTACAGTGCTGCCTAGTAAATGTAATCACAGCACAACTGGAAGGTTCAGGCTGCTGGAGAGTGGTGAAATCTTTTCAGTGAAAGGCAAGAGCACAGCATCCCTTGCTAATTCAAGCAGCTGTTGGGATGCTTACATCTCCCACAGGGTGCATGAGCCAATGCCAAAAGGTGCTGGGAGCACCAGACTTGGAACCTGTCCGTTTCCAAGACGTGAGTCATTCTCACAAGAGTGAAACATTGAAGGGGACGAAAGCCCTCTGCCAGGGCGAAGCTGAAGTGTGTGTGTTTCACTTGTGTTTAAAATCACCACAGCCAGCAAAAGAACTGCCTGCTATTCTTTTTCCATTATTCACATTTTCCTTGCTTTTATCAACACACGTGGACAGAGAGTGTTGGCAAAGCATCTGGGGGCCACAGCTGAAGTGGGAACACCATCTGACATCATAGGCGTCTACAAGAATGTCCTTTTGAAGCCTGGGTGAAGTTGCTGGTAACTTGAAGCCATGTGGCTAGACCTGAACCTTTCTATTTCTTAGAGGTACTGTGGTGTTGTCCCGATGGACACACACAGCATCTCAGTCCAGGCCACAGGGCAAAAGGCACATGTCAGAGCCAGATTTACTGAGGGGAAATACATTGATTTCAGGGAGTGACATACAGGATGTGTTTCTGTATAATTTCCCCTGGGTGATTTCATAGATATGGGCACCATATGTGTGAGACTCTTTGAGACAATCCCCAATTCAACTACTCTGTTTCATAAGCAAACTTTCATTGGCAGACATATGGCTTTTCTGTTAAATAGGAAAATCTGGTTAGTTTCACCCTAGATCATAAGTGCTTATTGCTAGATAAAAAGATGATTTAGAAATCTACCTTCCATAAATATTTAAAACATAAAAGTTGGATTTTTTTTTTTTTGCTCAGTATCAGACTTTAGCCTATTCATTAATTATTTTTAAATGTTTTTAAAAATTATTTTAGAGGAAGAGGAGAGAACAGAGAGAAAGAGGGAGAGAGAGAGAGAGAAAGAGAGATAGAGAGAGAAAGAGACATGGATGTGAGAGAGAAACATTGATTTGTATCCACCCCATCCAGGGATTGACTCTTGCTACCTGGATATAGACCCTGACCGGGACTTTTGGGTGCGTGGATGAGCCAATGCCAAAAGGTGCTGGGAGCATTGAACCAGTGACTTTTGGGTGCGTGGGATGATGCTCAATCAACTGAGCCACATTGATCAAGAGCCTATTCGTTAATTTTTAAGTTGCTACTGGACTTAGTAACAATTATTTACTAAATATTATTCTTTCAAAATTCTAAGGCAAACTAGGTATTCAAGAATGGTGTGATGCACCATAATTTAAGATCCACAAAGCCAAGATTTTTTTATACTTGTTTTCACTAATGTACCCCCAAGAACATAAATCTGGCTTGTATTTTTATAAATATTTGCTGAATACCAGCCTAACTTACGATTGCTGTTCAGTAAATACATGCTAGATTAATGGGTGTAAATTCAATCTCTTATTATCATCACTGTTGTGTCAGCTGACATTCATTCATTTATTAGATTCTAGGCAGTGAGGCAAGTTTTGTTTGGTTTGTTGAAAAGCATGATCCTATTTAATCTTAATAATTTTAAGTAGTCAATGTATAGTTAATCTCATGTTACAAATAACATATACATGTGATGAGGAAACTAAGATTCTGAATATTGAAGTAACCTGCTCAAAGTTACAAAGCCACCAGTAGGATCCAGCCAGTGACATAATGCCAGGTGACTAGAATATTCTCAGAAAATATTTGCAGAATATATGTGAACCAACCTGGCAGCATCCTTTCTCTCTGGCTATTAAAACATGTTATATAAGGTTAGAAAAGAACGTTGAAAATGATTTTCCTGATGTTATGGAAAATGAGAAATTGACATACACTCAGTTACAGATACAAAACTAGCCAGTCCTCAGAAGATATCTAGGCTAGTATACTTTCCTCTGTGGGTACAGCCAAAAGGGACATGGAATGAGGCTGGCATAAAGGAAGCTGGTGGTTCCATCCATGCCATAGCAGTTGCTGCCAAAATCCTATTTTACTATATAAAAAACAAAAAACCTTGTTTCTATTTGTCCCACCTGCAGAGCAGATATAAACC